TCCTTAACTGTTTTTCTGATTTGCATTTTACTTATTTATTTGATGTTTTGCTACAGGTAAGGCTCTAGGGCACTAGTTCCTTTGCAAGAAATGGAGAGCTGGGCATGTAACCCAGGCCTACACTCAATATCTGAGTGAATCTTCTCTTGGGTTTATACTATTCTGTGTAAAAATCCTACAGGCAACATCTCTCTGTTTGATCTGCATTTGAGCAATCAAAGGCTATTTAAAGTGCTTTATGATGGGTTCTCCATGGATACTGAACATAATCTCTTTTCAGTATGATACAATCATTAGAGTAGGTTTTCACAAAACTGTTTTTACAGAAAAACAGATGGCTTAGGCAAACAATGGCACAAGTAAAAGGATGTATCATAAAAGCTAGTAAAGAGAGGGCAGTTTGATCTACTCTCACCACATTTATCATAAACAGTAAAACTGTTTTGAAAGTTGTTCCTTTAAATTCTCCTCACACCCAGCAGTCACATGCAAAATTCTATGACTCATCCACATTTTCACTCTGAACACAAAAAATGAAAAGCAAAATTGAAAAAATTTACTACATCACTTCATATGCTGGAAATCCATGCTACAGTGTGTGTACGCAGGCATATCAGCCCTAATGTATTAAGTCACTTAAGGAACCACCTATGTAAACAGTTCTGATGACACCATCAGAACCATCTGCAACCTTAAGGTTATCCAGGTGCTTTTCTAGATTTTGGCAATTAACCCTGAAGAACTACACAGATAAAATTTAAGCCTAGATGTTATTATGCAGCTGCACCAGAGTAACAATTTTTTCTTGAGCCCAAAATTTCTAGCAAAAGCGGTATTTTGACAGTGAGGAAGAAGGTAAAGGATGATCCACGTGACTTCATCTCTCTTTCCCCATTAATAACTATATAACATCCTTTCAATTCTCAGTTTTGTATTTCTGATATGACTCAGAAGTAACTCTTTGGTTGTTCAGTTCACAGAGTGTACAAATGGGCCAATTCTCTTCTCCCTTATCACAAGCTTGGTTGGTTTATTCTTTTCTTAAATCTACTCATCTTCAGAGCACATAGAAATCCACTGAATATAGAAATGTGCAAGGAAGTGTTCCAATAAGTTGAAATGCAAGAAGCGATAACTGTTGCACAGCTGAGATGTGTGAAAAGAAAAGATGAATCTTTACTGTGATCATGTTGTGTATCTAACAATTAATTATGACCCAGATTCTGCTAATCTTACACACATCAAATAGTCTTTTAATCTCAGAATCATCCTGTCTGCTGTAACTTTTGTTCCTTACCTTGTACGGACCATTGTCCTACTCCAGAAGCAAACATTGCTGCTGAAATCAGTGGAGTATCCCATAGGGATACTATTGATTCTGAGCACATGTGAAAAAAGGATTTGTGCTTCAAGGATGAAATGTCAGCCTCAAAAAAATCAATACATGTTTTGCAAGTGATGTCAATGAGGTCAAAACTTCACTCATAGCATTGGTTCATACAACAAAACATGCACAACTTTAATACAGTTGCAAACTAGATTACATTTGAATTATTAATTAAGCAGACTGTATTTTAAGACCAAATGGCAGGTGCCTGAAAAATGTACGGTGAAATATGGACGTATTTGCTGAGAAAATGGAAAAGACCAAGATGTTCACATGTTATACGAATTCTGGCAGAAACACCAGAAATTAAATTGAACATATTAACTTACCAGTGGAAAGTTTTCATTATTTCTTTTGCTTCAGTTTGTACCTGTAGGGCTGCTTGACATTCCACTTGTTTTCAGCACAATTTTTCCTTTGCTTTTCAATAGTACAGTTGAATTAGATAAAATGTGTTTGTTGGAGGGTGTT